GGGCTTCACCGTGGAAGACACGCTTTCCCACGGCAGAGATTGAGGGATGAAGGTGTGGATCCTGGAGACCTCACTCACTGGATACCACTTGCTCACTACCCAGGTGGGCAGAGAGCCTCTCACAAAGGGGCTACCAATCTAGTCATGCAGGACGCCGGAGAACCAAGCTTAGGGCTAAGCAGTAGGCTTTGGCTTCCATTCTCAACTTGTGTCATGAGGACGATAGCCCAGGCTAGCCCCTTCCTGCCCTATCAGATTTGCTTTTCCTGGATGGATGGCATGGTGGGGAAGGAGCTGCAGGACCACCTCAGCTCCTGGATGATGACAGTCCTGCTTTGGGACCCCTCACGGGTACCAGGCTGGCTGGGGTCTGCACTGGGGATTCCAACTGGGGGCAGGTGGACTTTGTGGCAGTGTGATTACCAGCAGTTTTCAAACCTGTTAAATGGGTTAATAACCATTCTGCTTAAACAGGGATCTGTGAGGCTGAAACATGCTAATGGGGGAAGATCGGCTTTGAGAGCCCTTTTGCGAGACATATAAACACTGGGGTTTGTACACAGGCCCGGGCCCACTGGCTCAGAGGAGCCATGAAGCTGTGCGCACAGCCCCTGACCCTCTGTGGAATTGGATACTGTGGAATTAATTGCCTGTGGAAGCTTTGAGTGCAGTGCAAGCGTGCTGTGCGGAGGAAGTGTGTGCCGTGCAGGGGAACGGGAGCCTGGCCTTTGCCTTTTACGGCAGCCTGGGAGCCCAGAGCACTCCAAGCCGTCATTCTCAAAAAGCTTTTTATAGCCCTTCAGAAGTTTATGCCTCTGTAGATCCACATATCACAGGTACTCGCCGGGCTGAGGCCCATTAAATCAGTAGCTAATGCAGGGCTAATTAAATGCTCTTGCCTCTGTTACCATCTGCTGTGGATGAAGTGCAGTCAAAAAGTTCTGTGGGTTTTATTAGAGTCCCCTGTGGGGCAGGGCTCTCCGACTCCAGCCCCAGGACTAGACAAACCCTGATGGAAGGCTCCATCCATGATTGCCGTGTGAAGACACAAGCTGTGGGGATTATTTCAGAATCACTTCAGTTAATTAAAACAATCAGAGAAAAGCGCTGAGGTCGTTTAGTACTGTTTGCGCATTTTGCCCCAGAGGGGTCTCCGAGGATGAGCCGGGTATGGGGCTGCGGGGTCTTCTTGTCTCTGGCTGCAGCAAGGGGACTTGAGAAGTGTTGACTCTGATTCTCTTTGTTGTCAGAGCATCCTTCAGTGATTCGGGTGAACTTTGGTTAATCAGACTTGGAAAACTGATCCCTTAATTTCTCCAAAGCAGTCCACCTCTCTGGTCGAAGTGAGTAGCTGATGAGTCATTGTGTTTGGATTTCTCTTCTCTCCTCTCCCCCGGAGTCTAAGCTCTCACTGATTTTCATGTTCTGATCGGTTCCAGCGTGGAGAGACAAGAGCTTGATAATTCAAAGACCGTGCTTTGATCTGGGTGTGTTGGCGCATGCCTGTCCTGCAGCACTCAGTGTTCAGCAGTGTTCAGACCTGTCAAACGGATTAATAACTCATTCGCCAGGAGGTTCAGGGTTCAAGGGAATCCTTGGCTACATAGTAAACTCAAGTCCAGCCCAGGTTCCATGAGATTCTGTCGGAAGAAAGGAGGAGGAGGAGGAGGAAGGAAGGGGAGGAGGAGGAAGGAGGGGAAGGGGGAGGAAGGAAGGAGAGGAGGAAGGAAGGGGAAGAAGAAGGAAGGGGAGGAGGAAACAACAACAGTGGTCTGACGGTCTGGAGGGCTAGCTCAGTGGTTAAGATCATCTGCTGCTCTTCCAGGGTACCTGAGTTTGGTTCTCATCACTGATGTCAGAAGACTCACACAGCCTGTACTTCGAGCCCAAGTGAGTCTAATGCCCTCTTGTGGCCCCCAAAGATACCTGCACACACATGGCACACACATGGCACACACACACACACACACACACACACACACACACACACATAAATTAAAAAAAATAAAATAAATCTTTTTTTTTTTTTTTTTTTTGGTTTTTTTGAGACGGGGTTTCTCTGCGTAGCTTTGCACCTTTCCTGGATCTTGCTCTGTAGACCAGGCTGGCCTCAAACTCACAAAGATCCTCCTGCCTCTGCCTCCCAAGTGCTGGAATTAAAGGTGTGCGCCACCACTGCCAGGCTATAAATCTTTATTAAAATGTAAAACCAGTGGTTTGGTGACAGGAATGATATTGATCACTTGTAATCCCAGTATGGGGGGACAGGGAGGTAAGGGTTATAAGTTCAAGACCATCCCAGGCTACAGAGTGAGTTCCAGTCCTGGAACCCTGTCTCAAAAGCAAACAACAACAATGATAAAAACCATTCCAATAAGCCATACAGGCAAATGAAAACCAACAAAACAGCAATAAGAAATCAAAATAAACAAGCAAAAATTAGTAGTTCAGGGATGGGGAGATGACTCTGAGGTCAAAAGCACTTGCTGCTCTTCCAGAGGGCTCTTACCAGGCAGCTCACAACTGCCTGTAACTCCAGCTCCAGGGATCTGACGCTCTTTTCTGGCCTCCAAGGGCATATGCATGCATGTGGCATACACACATGCACACACATAAAAAAATTAACAGGAAAAAAAGAATAT